GGAAGCGGACAGAGGCTCTGAGTCCACATGAAATAAGTGGGAAAGAATGGCCAGAAATGGTACATGAAATCACAGAAAAGATGGTTGGGAAGCAACCTTGTGGATGAGGCCAAGGAGGGGGCTACAGAGGAGAGGCATCTGGGTCAAACCCGACCTGGCGCTGGCACTAGGGTGGGGGCCACGAGCACGCAGACACCGGCTGGGCCCCAGCAGCTCACCTGCACCCTCCCCCCCAGGTCATGTGTGGGGCCCTGTGGGTGGGCCCTTCGGCCCCAGATGAGGAGGCACCCAGATGCGCGTGACCATCCCTGGTCCCCTTTCAACTGCACAGCCAGCAGCTGGGCCCTCGGCAGCCCTGCCCGGGTGTGGGGCTGGGGCAGGAGGCAGGGGCAAGGCGTACCATGGGGGGGACGGAGGAACGGTGGGAGGAGGGGCGGCAGAAGAGGAGGGACCCTTATTACTGGAGGAATAAAGCAGCTCCCCTGGGCCACACGGACACTCTGTGCTCTGAGCCTCCCACAGACACGGCAGCCGGCATCTGCTTTCCAGTGGGGACGCTGCAGAGGGACGGCGCCCGGGTTCCTGAGAACGACACGCCGGGTTCTACAACAGGCGGGAGGCCAGGAGAAGCTGCACACACACCCCGGGGTCGGCCAGAGGCTAGAGCCGGGAGGAAGCCCATCGAAAGCCTGATGGAGCCAAGGCCAACACTGACTCCTGGACAGTCTAGAAATCCCCCAACAGCTTGAAGACACTCCGAGCGGGCGGGACCCCTGCAGCCAGGAGCAGCGGTGCTGGAACAGAACGTGGCTGGTTTTGGAACCTTCCTCTGGACGCCGCCTGACAGTCCGCTCGGGACCGGCACCCCCATCTCAAAGCTGAGCTGAGGTGGGCCCTGGACGGCCCCTGCAGCCCCGTACCCCCGGGAACAGGCAGGGAAGCCGCCCTGGACAACGGGTCATGGATGACTCCATTTCCCTGAGGACCGAGAACACGGCAACAGCCACCCAGCCCCCCGGGGACGAGACTCCGGGGAGAGCCATGACCGTCACATCGCACACGCTCCCCCTAAACCTGCTGGAAACCCACGCCTCCTGGGCCCCAGCTCGAACCCCAGACCTTCCATGAAGGAGGAAGCAAGCATGAGCCCTTGGGCTGCGGGGCTCTCCACCAACAGGCACACAAACCAACCTTCAACAAGTTAAAAAACAATTTCAATCGATTCTTCAAAAAATCCTTTTATACCAAACATACATGTGCTGATGAAACATCCCCAATGCCTAATCATAAATACGCCTCTGCCTGTGTGCTAAATGCCATCATTGTGCGTGGGCTCTTTACGAATCTAATTTCTAAATCTATTTATGGTTTTTAATTTTTTAAGTCATTAGTGTCCACACGAGAAAAAACATACAGGTTTCACTGAAGCAGCACACTTCCCACCCGACGAGGCAGGTGTATCAGGTTCAGGCTCTGCAGCGGCCTGTTTACCCTCCCACCCCCCAGTGAGAGCCCAGAATGGGCCCCGTCCCCAAACACAGGTGCCACTGGGAGGCAGCAGGAGGGGCACCACACTGACGAGTAACTGAAGAGGGCTTGTGCCGCCCGAGTTCTTTCACAGAGTGGGTGGGTTCCCGTTCACCGCCAGGCATCACTGCTCAGGATCCATCGGCCATACGGTAAGGTGCCGACTACAGGGTCTGCGGGGCCTCCCGCTCTGGACAGCGTGCCTGTAGGACATCTTGCTTTCAGCACCCCAGCGTGGCAAAAAGACAGAGCCCCAACTCTGGCCAGGCTGGAGTGCACATTGTGGAAAATCCACACAGTGGAAAATCTACTTTTCCTTAGAAATAGGATATAGGCCATCTTTTCCACTTTTAGATGAGCAATCCTTGTATTTCCCACACACGCTGAACGTGATTCCCCCGGCTGGCTGAGGTATTCCTGACACATGACACTGTATGAGTAAGGGCGCAAGGTGCTGATGTGATGCAGCCATATGGCTGCCCGGTCACCACCACGCCACACCCCCAGTCACCACTCACTAGTGGTGAGAACACTTAGGATCTACTCTTAGCAACGTGCAAGACTACTGTCCAATACCATGAGCTACAGTCACCGTTACACCCCTAGAACTCACTCATCTTCTAACGGAGTTTACGCCCTTTGACCAACATCTCCCCAGTCCCCCACACCCCCAGCCCCTGGGAACCCCTTTCTCCTCTGTGTTTGGCTTTTTCCGATTCCAAGTATAAGTGAGAGTATGCAGCATTTTTGTCCTTCTGTGCCTGGCTTATTTCACTTAGTGTAATACACACTCCAGGGTCATCTATGCTGTCACACCGGCAGGATTTCCTCCTTTATGGCTGAGCGATATTCCATGTCTCCTGAGGCACAGCACAGCCCCTTCATCCATTCATCCACAAACAGACACTCACGTTGTTCCCATGTCTTGGCTATTGTAAATAATGCTGCAGTGACCATGTGACGCGGGTATCTCTTCAAGAGGGTGACATCTTCTCCTTTACATAAACACCCAGAAGCACTCTTTGAGAGATAAGCAGCTAGTAGGAATGTTTAAGTTGCAAAAACAAGTACTTAGTTCTTCTCAGCCTGCCTTCCAGGGAGTAACTGGAACTCTAAGGGCACCGCCTGTATCATGAGAGGGTGAGGGTGTGTGATGAAATAGCATCCGATGACCCCAGCACCCAGACGCTGGTGTCTAGGTCCCCTTCTGCGATGAAAGGAGCTGGGGTTCCTCAGAGAAACGGCGGCACAGGGGTGGGGCGGGGGAATGCAAGGCGAGCTGGGGGCCTGGGAGTGCCCGCAGGGGAGGCTGTGCTCAAACCAGACGCCACAGGACAGAGCCCAAGAGGTGCAGTGGCTGAAGCTGGGGCGACCTGGGCAACAAATCAGGGCAGAACTGGATTATGGCCCGGAGCAGAATCAGGCCACACATTCATGCTGGTTACATCAGTGACTGAATAAAGAAGAAGGCGGGGAAGGGTCACACCTCTCCCAGAGGAATCCCGGACCATCTACAGGCGTGAAGCTGCTCTCCAAGAGCAGGGGCTCGACCCCACACCCTTGCTGCAGCGCAAGCGCACCACGGGGCCAGGATCCAGGGATCTGACCCCAAAGGGGAGAACCCACCCACGGGAGAACCCACCCACCCTTCACCAGAGGCTGAAGGGAACGCTGCCAGGGACACGAGGCTGCTGGTAGCCCCTGACGGGACGGGACTAGAGGCCTCCCACAGGGTCTTCCTGAAGCCAGCCGCCCCAGGCTCCCCTCAGAGCTCTCTCCCCATCAGACAAACTCCAACTGGACTGGGGAACACTCTACGGGAGACCCAGCCCATCACCCCGAAACCATCAAGCCTTGAAGAGCAAGGGACACAGAACTGTGTCACATTCCAGACACCAGGGAGAAGGGACAGCAAAGGCGACCTGGGGTGCGGAGAAGTGCCAAGGGGAAGCCGAGGACATCCTAGACCATCTGGAGCTCACCGTGAACACACTGTTGTACTTTGGACCAATATGCCATCGAAACGTAAAATGCAAACAACGGGGGGATGGCCTGAGCAGCACACGGGAAATCTGCACGGTCCTGCCACGCTCCAGTGCATGTAAGACCGCTGAAAATAAAAGGCTTAGTGAGAAAGTACTGTAAATCAAAGCTATGGGGACTGTAAGTCAGGGGTCGGCAGGGGCCCAGGGGGGGCCCAGAGGGTGTCGGGGCAGTGAGCCTGCTCTGTGTGACACTGATGGGGGACACACGTCATCACACATCTGTCCGAACCCCCACGATGTGCACCACTGAGGGACCCTGATGTAGGCAGTGGCTCTGGGCGACGGAGACGTGTCCGGGCAGGCCAGTCACTGTGACAGACGTCCCGTCTGGGGGGATGTGGAAAATGGGGGAGCTGGTGGCTGTGTGGAGGCAGGGGGTGTATGGCAACTCTCTGTAATTCCCCTCAATTTTGCTATGAACCTAAAATTGCTGCAAAAACAGAGTCTACTAAGAAAAATTATGTGCCTTTAAGAAATTCTCAACCATTTAATTCTTTCCCATAAACTGCAGTTGCTAAACAAAAATAACTATTTAAACTAAATAGCTGAGTTCTGTTTAACGAAATGAAATACAGAAAAATCTGCCTGCGCCTATGCTTGCCAAGTAAGACTTTGGAAATACTGCCCCACTCTGCAATAATAACAAATTTGGCTGAAGCTCACCTGTGTGACGGAGGCGGCAAAAATCATTCTCCAATTCTTGCTGACACTCACTACACCTGCTACAGACCCCGCTCAGCTGGCTGGTGTTATTAGGGACATATTTAAATTTCAGGATTTCTTTTACTGCCTTGGGAGACTATAAAAGTCTCATAGAGCTTGGCTTGGCCTTGATGATACAGAGAGAGAAAATATTCTGAACTATCAAAGCTTTTCCTGGTATAAAGCAACAGGTTTTCTATAAAACTAAAATACTGAGATAGGACTTCTGTGCTAGAGGAATTTCAGGCCCTTTTCCAAAAGACACTAAAAAAGTTCAAAGAAAGGACGTGTGCATCCTACACATTTTGTTTAACTTCATCAAGAGACCTGCAGTCGGCCAGAAGCTCCTTTTTGCTCCGTGGCGGCGACTGTGAGCCTTTCAAATGAGCGTCTTCTTTCTTTTGAAATCCCTTACTCGTTAATCAGCACACGAGAAAAGAACAGAGCCATCTACCCATTTTGTTCTTCCCTACAGAGACTTCTAGATCCACAATGTGATAACCAGTTAGCGTTTACAAGCCTGCAGGAGATGCCCACTTTGGACTTAGGACTGCGTAGGCGCTGCTCCTGGCCAGGCCCCAGAGCCCTGAAGGGAAGCTCCGCAGGAGCGAGTGTAAAGCCGCCCGGCTCTCCAGATGGCAGGCGCACTGCTGGCATGCCGCCACAATCAAACAGGCCAGGGGAGTGCGCGGCGTCGGCACGATTTGGTACGGAGGCCACAACAAGTTGCTTTTAAAGTTTTATTCATGTCAAGCAAGAGAAGAGAGGGTAACCTGGCAACACATGATTTTAAGGCTCCACAACCAGGATTCCTGAGCTGCAGAATCTAAACAACGAGCAGGTGGCTGTGCACGGAACCACCTGGCACCACCGCCAACAAAACTGTGAGCTGTCACCTGCCGACCCAGCCTGTCGAGTATCTGCACACACACATTATTTTGGCCTTGTGGAAAACAGCAGCTTTTCCCCTTAAAGGGAAATAAAAGAATAAGAGCCAAATGCAAAATTAAAAGTGTAACGCAGGATCACTCTGGCCACGCTCAACACCACGCAGTCACTCATGGGGTGGGCACACCACACTCCTGTGGCCAGGCATCTCTCCAGCTCCCGGCGGCCACTCCTCAATTGGCCGGAGCAGAGGCGGAGGCTGGTAAGAGCTTCGGCTTGGCCTCCTGGGGCAGCACCGCCTCAGGAATCTTCTCCCCATGTTTGTACACGCTGACGGTGACGTCGATCTTCTCGCCTCCGTATTTGTTCTTGACGCTGATGCTGTACTTGCCCGAGTCCTCGGAGGTCACACCCTTGATGGTCATGCTGACGTATTTGGCCTGCTCCACCTTGACGGAGAAGTGTTCGCTGATCTCGATGTTCTTGTCATTCTTGAACCACACCACTTCAGGGTCTGGGTTTCCAGACACCGTGCATGTCAGATTCAAGGTCTTCAGGAGGGCAGGGTGGGCAGAGAAGGGAGAGTTAGAATCAGAAGTCATACTGCCTCTCTGAACAGGGTCAACTCGCCGACATGCTCAGCTGTATTTACATCCTTCACGTCATTCAGTCAGCATGCTCTTTATATATGGAAGCACCATGCCAGACACAAGGGACCCAAAAAAGAGCAGGGTGCAAAGAAGCTTGCGGTTTCACGGGGCAACTCGCGGGAAAAAGTAATGGTAATTTTTCTATTTATTCCCAGTTTTAATCTGTGGCCTAAGTTGATTAAAGAATCTGAAGGTAATTAAGCTCTACATTTTACAATATATGTATTTAGCCGGTTTCTCAATCTCCTTTATATTCCGATACGGATCCATCTTACCAATGTCCCTGGCATATCCAGAGAATATACCGTCTTATAACAAGGAAACAGGACCCAGCAAATGTGTTGTTGACGCTTAGTTATTAAAACAGCCTATGATGGTGCTTTCAGCCTACGCTGAGGTAAGGCTGCTGCTAATTCCTCAACACATGCGTGTTACGGGATCCACGATCATTCAGTCCGGGGACCCTCTGGGCTTTCTTCTGCTGCTAAAGAAAAGGCCTGTAAATATTTGTATTTAGTCTAATCAAATTCTCTCAAGCGTCTATGTCCCTGTGACACGGAGCTGGGATCACTGGAACACCAAGAAAACACCAGTGAGACATGAGAAACTGCGACAGGCCACAGATTAAAGCCCCAGAAATGGTGCTGCCACACAGTCCAAAATGGCCTTGAAGCTGCAGCAGAGCCTTTTTTTTTATTGACACTTGAAGAGGCCGGTTTCCACCTTCGCAGAGGCAGGCGGGCCGCGTAGTGTAGGTGTGGCCGCCTGCCCCTCGTCCAGGTGCCCCTGGATGGCCCGGGACCAGGGGCATCAGAGCCACAGGCAGGGCGGCGGGAGCGGAGGGTCCGGTCTCTGCAGGCCAAGCGGCACGCAGCCCACCCCGCCCCTGCACCTGCCCCTGGTGGGGGCGCGCCCGCTGTCCTCGCAGCCGACCGCCCGCTCTTACCTTGCCCTCCATTATGGTCACCACATCAGGCAGGCCGCCCATGAACTTGCCACGATCTGTAACAGGAAGGCGGCCCCGGTGAGAGAGCCGTCAGCAGGGCTTTCCCTGCAGCGCAGGCCCCCAGCTGAGCCCCATGTCAGCACAGCATGAGCACAGGAAGCGACCCCGGTACACACACAGAGCACAGGCCAGACCACTCGCGGGCCGTGGGGGAGCAAGGCCGTCAGACGCAGGGAGGCTGGGGTGCGAGCAGGGCTTCGAGGATGAGGAATCCTTCAGCAGAGGGACCACACACACACACGTCTGCGATTCAGCCCCAAAGAGAAGGGCTCCCGTCTGTCTGGAGAGCGGGATTTGTCAAGGGGGTGTGCAGGACAGAAATTTCCATTTTCTGTAGATGGTGATGCTTCGATATCCTAAAACCCTTCCTGTCTGGGAGACCCTGCCCTCCTTGGGTGGCCAGTTCTCAGAGAGCAAAGGGCGCAGCAGACGTCCGGCCTGTGATGTGCCCAGAGCCCGCCGGGAGCCACACCTGCGCCCTGGGGCTGTCCTCTGCCTGATCACCCAGGGTCAGGAGCCGCAGGGCCACCCTGGGGCCCTGAAGCCCAGTGACACAGTTCCAACTAGGCAGCCCCAGCCAACCCAGCCCTCTGTGCCTTCCCCAGGAAACCCCCGTGAGGGTCGAGGCCTAAAATCCTCCCAGCTCCCGTCACCTGCCCCAACACGCTGGCACCCCTGCCCAGCACGCTCCTCTCTCTCTGGGACCCGTGAGAACAATGACCAGTTTCTCCCTGTCCCTCTGCCCGGCCTCCTCTGTGGCCGCGCTGGCAGACCATCTCCTAAGGGAACCCGGAATCGAGCGGCAGGGGAGGGGAGGGGTCACAAGGCGCCAAAGTGAAACGGAGGCTGACGGGTTAGCAGGGTTAGGGGTCCAGGCGTTCAGAGTTACGGAGGGTTTCTGATCGGTGTGAGGTTTGCTGCTTATATTTAATACACAAAATTAGTACCCCGGCACGGGCCCTTTGCCCACCCCTAATAAGAAGCCGTGTTTGCTATGATCTGACATGTACTCACTCTTCTCTGCAAAAGCAGCTGCCCTGAGAGGGAAAGGGGGCAGCAGGGAAAGAAGAGAGTCGTGAGAAGTTCTGTGAACCCAAACACCACACACCGCAGAGCTTCGCTACGGACGAAAGCAAAAGGTGGATGGAAATACATCCACTGTCCTCGGAAGAGCACATCCAGGTCACGAGAAACCCTGCGACTTTTCCTGGTGTCTCTGCTGCCTGTTCTGGAAGGGGGTGCCCTGTCTTCCAGCTGCTAAAACCTCCAGAAGCTTAGCATTCAAACTCACAGGTTGGAGGGGTTTCTTTCTCACCAAAACCACCAGATTGCACTGGTGATTTTTAGATATTTTTGAAAATGCTGGTTTCTGATCTGACTCACTCCTTCATCTGCTCAGCAGATATTTACTGAACCACCTAGTACAGACCAATGCAGTTCTCGGTTTGGGGTACTCGGAAACTCAGACACACACTTGAAAATCCCAAGGCATTCTTTAAAAAGTTGCGGTGAACAATGGAATATTATTCAGGGCTGAAAAGAAATGAGCTGACAGGCCAGGAAGGACGTGGAGGAGCCTTAAATGCACATCACTGAGTGACAGCAGCCAGGGTGAAGGGGCCACACGCTGTGTGACGCCAGCTCTGTGACATCCTGGAAGAGGCCCGACTATGGGGACAATAAGTCAGGGGTCGGCAGGGGCCCAGGTGGAGCCCAGAGGGTGTTGGGGCAGTGAGCCCGCTCTGTGTGATGCTGATGGGGGACACATGTCATCACACATCTGTCTGAGCCCCCAGGGTGTGCAGCAGCAAGGGACCCTGACATAGGCGGGGGGGCTCTGGGCGACAGGGACGTGTCCGGGCAGGCCCATCACTGTGACAACGCCTGTCTGGGGGAACGTGGATAATGGGGGAGGCTGCTCATGGGGTGGTGACAGGGCACATAGGGAATCTCTGTACCTGCCTCTCAGTTTTGCTATGAATCTAAAACTGCTCTAAAAATAACATCTTAGAAAAAAGCTAAATATATAACATTAAACAAATGGTTCTATATGATATAGTGCCATAATGACAAATATTTCAGAGATTCGTCATTTTGATCATTGAAAACAACCCGGGGTTATGATGAGTCTAGAAAGTTAACTATACATACTTTCACAGCTGACAAAAATGCTTGCCTTCTACATGCTGAATTGCTTACACTGACACTTTTATCTTGGCTCCTAGGATCACCACACGTCTGGGGTTCCCTAGGCACCCACAGACATCCCCCCTCAGCCGAAATGACTCCCAGCCCCCTGTGCCCCTGGACGACGGGGTGACAAATGAGAAAACATGCAAGTCTTACTTGAGTTGCTGGAAATCTGCAAGAGCTTCATCAAAGGCTGTGAGGAAACATTGGGCACGTGAGTAACGGCTCCAGTGTATTTAGCTTTTATTCAGTCGTCAGATGCTCTACTGGTAAACGTGCGTAATGAAAACTGACAGAACGCCCAGTGAATATTCTCCAAATGAAAATCGTGAAATCAGACTATTTGCCTTCCAGCATTCTAAATGCATCACAAAATCCCAAATTAGGAGATGCTAAACAACAGAGATCTTACCTTGCCCAGACAGGTCAAGTGAGCGCTGGTGTTTATCTTTGCCATCAAAAATCTCAAACGTGTATTTCCCTTTGTCCTTCTCTGTGGGTTCGCAGATCTGCAGCCAGGCCGTCTGTTCGCTCCCTCCGGTCCTCATGTGCTCACTAGAGGCAATCTTAGCATCTCTTTAAAAAACAAAAAGGTGACAGCAACACGTTCCAGTTAGAACCTCACAGTATGTACAAGATACCTATGGGACAATACACGCATTTTGGTGTCTAACTTGTTAGCATTAATGTCCCAAAAGATTTTTCTGGGTGTTATAAATTTATTGACAACATCAGTAGCTCAGGTATGAAGACCTTCTAAAATTAAATCTGATGCTTCACTTGCAAAGATACATTGTTATGATATATATATGCTTGTTGGCCACAACATACTGGACTTTAAAATCCTTTATATGGTACAGCATATTTTTCCTCAAAAAGTTTTTTTAATCGCCGTCTGATCCGGCAATTGTACATATGGATACACGGCCAACAGGATGGAAATCAGAGACTCAGACAGACCCCCACACACCCGAGCTCAGCAGCGGGATGACACCAGGCAGGAGGCGGAGCGGCCCAGGCGTCCACAGGGCTGAGTGGGTGCAGGCCACGTGGTGTCACATTCCATGGAATGTCATTCGGCCCTAAAACGGGAGGAGATCCGACCCAGGGGACACCAGTGGTGGACCCTGAGGACATGGCACTACAGTGGAATAAGCCGGTCACAAAAACACTGTGTGATTCCACCCGGGGCACCAAGCGCAGTTGGAGTCGCTGAGACAGGGGCAAACGGCGGCGGCTGGGGGGCCAGGGCTGGAGCGTTCGTGCCAAGTGGGGTCAGTGATCATTACAGCTGAAAAAGCTCCGGGTGGGGGTGGGGGTGGCTGCACATCAGTGGGGATGCTCTTCATGCCACCGACCTGTGTACTTAAAAATGGTTAAAATGGCAAATTTTATGTGTTGTATCTTTTACCACAACTTAGGAAATATGAAATTAAAGTAAAGCGTTCACTTCCTGCTTCTACTGCAACCTGAGCTCGACACCACAAGCGCAGCAGGGAACACGGGCAGGTCAGTGAGCAGCTTCCTAAGGCTCTCCTGGGGGGAGGGGGCTGCGAAAGCTTCGTGGAACTGCTGCCATGGGCGAACGGGGCAGCCAGAAGCCGGAACGTGGACCTGCATCTCGTGCACCGGCTCAGAGGGGTGAGTCTCGGTAGAGTGGGCTGAGCTGGCCTCCGACAGAAAACTGCCCTCACGGCTTCTATACTGCCTGACCTTGCCCATAGCCACGTGTCCCTGGGTTACACTGCGAAAAGGGAGTCCCCTACCCTCCTCACCAGAAGAGCCTTTTACTCTCATTCTTTCATTCACCAGAACGCTGTCAAGCCCATCGTGAAGGCACATTCCCATGGGCTGTGAGGGCTCCGCGTGGCCGGCACTTGTGGGCTCAGCACGGGCTGCCCCATGTGCTCAGAGAACGTCACTAGCGTTAAGGTGGCAGGCGGGCCAGTCTGGCACTCAGGTCTCCCCATTCCCATACACAGAGAAAACTCAACTTACATAGCGATCCTCAGCTCTGCAGAGAAAAGCACTCTTCCAAAGAAAATGTGCTCTGCTATGGACTAGCCAGAAATCCGAAACCCCGAAATGCTAACAGTGAGGAACCCAAGGTGCAAACACCCAAACAGGCATCCCCACAATGAAGAACTTGTAGCTTGGCGGGGGGCGCTGCCTTGTCCCCCGTGCACACGGACAAGGGGTACGCGGATAGACTGACTGGCAGACGGGGACTGCTGAGGCTGGAGAAAGAGATCCCGATCCTGCCATGCTCACGCTGAGGTCTCCGAGAGGTGGTGCCATGTACTGTGGTCCCTCTGGTGGCATCACGCCACACGCCCCAGGGGCGCTGGACACGCGGTGTCCATCATCTCCAGTATCCGGAAACCCACAGAGCGAAATTATGTGCCCAACCCACTGTGCTCTAGGCAGACATTCAAGCCTCTGCCATGTGTGCATGTGGCAGAGACAAGACAGACACGGAGCTGAGATGCCCCAGGGGGCACACTGAGGGCCCGAAACCCGAAGCCATCAGGCCGGGGAGAAAAGCCGAGCGTTTCCGCATCGCAGCCCCACGTGCACAGCTCTCCCAGCACACAAGGCTCACCCAGCCCCACGTCACCGCACACGCACTCCAGGAGGCGGGGACGATTTCAGCCTTTGAGGAGTCTATGTTCTACTGAAGTGAGTCCCATTCTGCCATCGGGTCTCACAAAATTAGTGATTTGCTTGCAGGAAACAACGATGATATGGTTTTCTTTTATTCTGGACACACATGATGGGAAGAAGTGAGCATACCCTCCAGCGTTCCCAGGAGAGCCGTAAGCAGTGCCAGGTCCCCTGGCCTTGAGGTAGCTGCACACCACTTGCCCCTCAGCAAAGACGGACACCCTGCAGGACACCCTACAACCCCCCGCTGGCCCCACGTGGCCTGCTGCAACCCGCTGTGGCCCACAGAGCCATTCATCACTCAAGGTTGACCTGGAGCCTCATTCCACCGCCATGAGAGTATCTTTGCTGGAAACCATCTGTGTCCACGCAGCCCCCCACTCAGCCTCCACCCCTGCTTCGGACAAGGGGCCCCACAGAGCACCTACAGATGCACTCCTCGGGCCCACATGCTCAAGGCCAAGCTGCTGCACACCCAGCCCCAGGCTGAGCCGCTGCAGGCTCCTGGGGCCAGCAATGGATGCCCCAGCTCAGCAGCCGGAGGTCCTGCCCAACCCCGAGCTCCAGCCCAGAAAGAAGCCACTTGCCTTAGGATCGGGAACATGCTAATGCCAGGCTCAAGCTGGCCAGCACAGAGTGATGACCCAGCTCCCCCAGGGCCCTATCCTTCTCCTGGACTGATACTATTCTGTTCCCAGACACAGGAAGCCACATGCACTCGGACAGCCAGAAGCAGAGGCTTGAGTGCCAACCCACCCCTGCCCCATGCTGGCTCAGACCTCCCCGCTTCCTGGCCGCCCACCGGGCACCGAGTCCCGTCTCCAGGCTCCCTGCCCTGAGTCACCAGCCTCCCCATGCTGCACCCCTCCAGGGTCCCCACAGAATTAGTCAGCTTATAAGACCAAACAGACGTAGCAATCAAACACAGCTGCTCGGTGCTCTGAGTGTCTCTCCACTGCATTGCTTGTTACTCCTGCCCTGCAGACACAATGACGCCGGCTCACAGGGTTATCTGTTTACTACGGTTTGGGGACTGGAATGCGCCAACCCCGCAAAACCTCTTCCTTGGTTTTGTTTAATCACCAAAAGTGACTGAATCCCTTCACCAGGCAGAATGTGAAATGCCCTATGTTAGTGTATGAAAGGAGAGGGTACGAGAAGGCGGGCGTGCACCTGCTCGCTCACGCAGAGGGAGCAGAAGAGGCGACGGCTGGCACTGCGGGCGGGAAAGGGGCGGACTCCGGGAGGCGGGACCAGGCGGCAGGCGCCGCTGCGGCTCCTCTACCCCAGCCACGCTGTTGACAAACCCCAAAATACAGAACCACAACCTGGCAGAATGCGAGGGGAACCCAGAACAGAATACCCTTGAGTCACTTAACTCTGGTGTGAGAGAACTGCACACCACCTGGAGAGGCTAAGGAGGCCAAGAAATAACTCAAGCAACTTGGGGAAGGAAAGTTTTGCCCAAAAAATGTGAAGATAAAGCCAAAACGAACTGTACAAAACACCGAGAGTGCTGTCCAGAACACCAGGCTTTGGTGTGTGCCTCTGCTCCGCGTGGGGATTTGAGCCAGTGGTTCTGGAACTCCTGGGCACGAGCACTAGGACTGACAAGCACAAGCACTTCATGGGCCAGGGCCAGGTTCCTCCGCGGGGAGGGACACAGACCACCCCATGCGCTGCTGGATCAAAGACCTCACCCTGGCCAGACAGTGACGCACAGGAGGGGGCGCTGCGTGTGCAGGCGCAACTTGGTGTGTGTGACCCACGCCCAGTCCCGCGTGCTCAGAGGCCGTTGAGAGCCGACAGCCCACAGGGACAGCTCAGCCAGGGCCCCAGGCCCGGCATCTCCCACCAGCCCCCAACACGAGGGACAGGCTTCCCGGAGAAGGCGGCTACTCCAGGCCATTGCCGGAGTACAGGGGTCAGAACACCCTGCAGACGCAGGAAGCAAGAAACTGCTCCCAGAAGGCCAGGGCTGCTGGACAGACCCCCGAGAGCCAAGCTGGGCCAACGTGGGCAAAATGGCTGTGACAATATGGGATCAGAGCCCAAGGAATAAAGTAAGTATCCATGAGCCCACAGTGACGTGACTAAACCACCGGACAAATAAACACGAGGGCGGAAGCAGCACCTCCTCAACAGAGGGGCTCCGGAACACGGGGGACGCCGTGAGACCCAGGACACGGGGGGGTGCCGCAATTTGCAGGAGAGCTGGGGAAACGTGACACTGTCAGTGCCAACATGGCACGCTTCTGCCCACAAACATGTGCAGGTGGGGGTTGGGGGTGGGCATGTGTTCATGTGGGTGGTTGGGGGTGTGTTTAATCTGCGCCCCAGTGCCTGGCACAGAGTGGGCCACTCACTGGAGACAAAGCGAAGGAAGGAGCAGCCACTCCTGGGATGGGACACGGATCAGACACAACTCGTGCAAGACAGGGTCCCGTATGTGACAAAGAAGCATAGGGAAGGAAGTGATTAACTCTCCTTTCCCAGGGAGGTTTGGTTCAGCTGGAAGCACAGTTTCACTCATTTGTCTTAAAAAATAAACCTTTATAAACAATTATATCACAAAAACACACCAGCGTGTCTGTCTTTAAAGCTCTAATTCCTAGAATCCGGGCCCTGACCCCAACCCCTCTCTTCATGCACCCCTCCACGGGGCGTCTGCAATGACCCCGAATCCCACACTCCCCAAAACACAGAAACACAAGATGCCACACGCACACGCCCTGAGAGCCCACCTGCCTCCCGTTGTGTGGCTCTGACGGGACACCCACAGAAGCAGAGCAAGTAACGACCCCAAGGACACTCCTCTCAGCGCCTAGATTCACTCATGAACAGATTCGTCTGGACAAACTAATGCTTTTAAAAGTGTAACAGCTGCAACCACAGAGTTTGCATTTTTAGCTGCAAGGGAAACACCGGGTCCAAATGCACATGCAGAGTACAGCTTACGAAGAGCAGGACGACTGATGTCCTCCCGTGAGAGCAGAGGGGACAGAGGCGTGGGCCCTGCCCCCCGCCTGAAGCCCCTCGCCGCCCTCATGCCCAAGGAGATGGAAACCACAGGGGACCTGTTTTCTCCGAGATGTGCAGCTTCAACCAGCTACTTAGACACAAGTTCAGTGCGTGCTCGACAGAGCCAGACACGAGCGCCCAGGGCACAGGGACTCAGCGTGCTGTGACTGCCACAGAAATCCCAGTGCTTCCACAGTGGACGTCACCCACCCGGAGACACGGCGGAGCAGCGAGCACAAGACACAGACACCCGCTGTTCCCGTGGGGCTTGAGCTCATTCTTTCTTCTTCGTTTTAACTCTCAGGCTTTGATCCCTCACTTTTTAATCAAGTTAGCAGGAACCAGCAGACTAGAAATGTGCAGGGTGACCTCTGAGTATTATTTTTCTGCCAGCCTGTCTGCTGGTGCCAGACACAATGTACATCGCAAAGAGAGCCCCCTTTGGCAAACCCAGACATGGGAGAATTTGTTTCGGGCACCTTCAGGGGTGACTTTCCTTTCTCCTTCCAGAAGGAACTCCCCGTGGCCACGACGGCCCCGTCCAAGCCTGAGGCACCATTATTTCTCCAAACCACAAACTGTCAAGAGGACAGGTGTGGCCCTTGCATGCAGCGTGGCCCCAGTTTGCTGCACTTACACTTACTTGTGATACCAGTTCGCTTTCATTTCCTCAGTAAAATATTTCATGAAGCACTGAAGTCTTATGCCCTCTGGGGTGCAGAGTATCTTTAGTGGAGATGCAGATGCTCCTGCAGAAGATAAAACATGCTCAGATCCAGGAAGAGCGGTATGTGCTGCGTCAGAGGCAAAGGCGCTGTTACTGGGACCTGCCACACCCAGCTGCAAACGTGTTCTCACGGTCCTGCATTCGCAGGACGGTCAGCCAGTGTCTCAGCGTCTCTCCCCAGCCACATGCACTCATTCCACAAACCCCGGCCGTGCCAGCTCTACTGGGGAATCTCTCTGCTGAATTCATTTTAAAAGAAGAATCAACATCTGCCCCTTGGCAGCTTAGTGTAAGAAGAGGAAGAAAAATTATGCAAATAACACTATAACACAGTAAATGCTGCCTTAATGGATCTGGAACTTGAGTATTATAGAAAATAAGCAAAAGAGAGCTGACAAGTTAGCAGGAATGGACCAGGAATGAGGCAGGGAGATGTAGGACAAGGCTTCATCCTCTGAGATGAGCAAAGACTGACCGAGAAGGAATGAGGCGGGGAGGCGAAAGGCAGAGGCCATCGGGAGCACCTAGGACATGGGGACCTCGGCAGCGCGTCTGGAACAGCAAGGCAGACTAATGGGGTCGGGGAGGTGCTCTGGGGAGGCGAGAGGTGGAGACGGGGATCAGGAAGCAGCCTGTTACGCCAGAGCTCTGGAACTCACGCGGGGGCCACTATCGGTACATGACTTCAGAGAATCTAGAGAAACTCATGATACTAGAAGACAGTATTATATACTCAGCAAAATAAAAGAAAATGGTTATCCTCACGACGTGCTGATGACGGTGCTACGGAGAAGAGACCCAAGTACTTGTCCATTTTGGTAAGCAAACAGAAAACTGAACCTGTGACTCCTAAAATGCTCATAGTATTGTCCACAGTCACGGTGCCTCTGGAACCCACAGAAAATATTCCAGGACGCTGGAAAAACACCCTCTTTGCCCAAAGACATGCACTAGTTATTTATCATAATGAAACATGTTTGGTATCCCTACAGGGAAGAGTTTAAGCCACAGCATAGTAACTCCATGAAATACTGTGTAATTAGAAATGGCTGATATAAAATCTATATAAAACAAAATCATCACAAAATATGTGGGGGGAGGGAAATAAACAGATTGTGTTTATGACTCTATGTAAAGAAAAAGAGACCTAAATAAAATGGTCACCTCTGTGGTGGCCCTTATTTTTCATTTACTCTCGAATGTGTGTAGAGAACAAACATGTAACAAGAAAACAGATCAAAGCCCTTTTACTGACAATTATCATGAGAATTAATGATCCTGTCCGGGCACCTCTTACACCGGCACTGTGCCCCCATCGCAGTGTGCACGCGGAAGCCTCTGCTCCCTCCTAAACCGACCAGACGGAGGGACAGTGATGTCCGATGGCCCATGGGTGAGGCTCCAGGAGGCAGAGAGCAGCGCGAGAGAGGCCCAGAGCGATGCAGAGAGCCAGGCAGAGTGGGAGCCAGACGGGAGCACCGTGGGGCACAGGGCTGCCACAGGGGCACGTGCACCCCCCTGAAGGTGTAGACACCCACCCCCTCCGCCTCTCCCCAACCCGGAGACCAGAGGTGCAGCCCTGGGAGGCAGCCAGCGGCCCACGCCACTCCTGCTCGCCTCCATGACACCCTCTCCGTCTGCCAGGAAACCGGGATGGGCCCTGGCAGAGGCAACCACACAGCCTGCCTGCTCCAGACGCGCGGCCCGCAGCTCTGACCGCCTCTCTCACTGCCTGGGCTTAAACAGGGCTGCACTCAGGAACAGCAGAGGCTGCGAAGTCACTGAGGTGACCGAGATGGCAAGCAGGAGCAAAGCTGGAAGAGGCGTGCTGGCCAAGCCACAGGGGCCTGGGAGGACGGGGACCCCGCGGCAGCAGGAAGGCACGAGGTGGCTACCAAGAGGGACCCCAGTGGGCTGGTGTGAAGGAGGGCGGCTGTGGAGGCGGACCAGGTCAGGAGCCGACAGAAGAGGGTCCAGGGCTCTGAAGGGCATCCAGCCAGTGGTCTCCAGCACATAGCCCAGGAGTGGGATTCTAGTCCACACACCATTTACACAGATTCACCAGGAAGCGCTTCGTAGGATCGAGCACCTGGGGTGCCATTCCATCCAGGAGGAAGTTATGTTCATGAATGCCAAGGAGGAGATGCGAGATGTCTGAGTGGCCCTGAGGACAGGGCGGTTGCGGGAAGGCCATCAGTCCCAGAAGCTGGCAGCATCTCACTTACAGGCTGTCACATGCAATGATGAGCTGACAGAAATGGTCAATGACGTGAGGCGTCCCCTTAAGGAACATTTTCTTGGTACAATGTCCTTAACGACTGGTAATGACGTGAAAGTGAACAGGTGCATATTTTTTTAACAAATACACATTCCTTATTGTTCAAAACAATAAGGCGAAGGTAAGGTTGGACTCCAGGAAGCCAAGGGCTCGCTCAGCGTCAGCCCCAGTAGCCCAGGCACCTGAGGCCGGAATGCCCAGCTCGCAGGGCGTGGCAGAAGATGGATGGATTTCCAGGAGGTTTTCCAGAGAAAGAGCAATGCTCAAAAATTTCTCAGCTCGAACGTGAGGACCAGCCTGGCAGTTCCCCTGACACTGGAAATTGAGCCCTGCGTAGGGAATTCAGACACACCCTGCAGAGCCACAGGGGCCTCATTCCAGCTGGCAAACCAATGGATATTTACCTTTACCAACCACAGGGCGGAAAGGACCCCAGGATACATGTTCCAAGTAACCAGATCACGGGAGGCTGATTTCCAAGAACGACACCAAGAAGGGCAAACAGCGACAAGGAGGCTGTTCCCCTATTTTCTAATTTTACATCAGCTGCATCATTATCAGGCCTTTGTTTTGATGTTTTAAGAAGCATTTATATTTATTACACACAATCTAACCAGATTTGTGCAATTCACCTCTGCCACTGGTATTTCTGTCTCACCAATTTATTTTTTAAGTTATCTGATGAGACATTTCAGTATTCTATAAATATTAAAAATAAGGCATACACAAGGTTGGTTCCCTTTAGATAGTTTATAAAAGTGAATGATCTTAAAGAATCATGAGGGTGATGTCTTAGAAATACGTATCCTTAATGCACAGACCCTCCAAAGTGTGTTGGAAGGAACTGAGGGCTCCCCATCCAGGAACCCGGGGATGGGCTCTCGCATCCGCTCCGCCGGCCCTCAGCCGAGTGGCCATCAGCCGAGTGACACAGCCCCTCAGTGACCGAGCTCCCATTGAACTGGTCTGGTCTCCTCTGGGATTCTGTGAAAATAAACAGCTCCCTCGGTGCTTTTTGTGAGAAACAGTGTTTCAGAAGATGCCAAACCTTAACTCGGGAGCCTGATGCTTCGATTCTGCCTTCCCCACCTCAAAGGCAGGCATGGAAAAGTGCAGGGGTGTTGAAGGTACCCCCACCCGTATATGGACACGTGTAAGAACAAGGGTGTGTGTGCATTGCATCACCACACAGACACCTGCACCTGGGCTTGCATTTGCATAATGGGTTTACTTGCAGCCATGGAGTCACAGACTTCAAATCTAGATGAGCACCTGGATGTCATTAATCCAGACTCCCCATCAGCAGGAGGGGAGGCTGAGGGACCCCAACCACGCCCACATCTGGATTCACGCACAGATTCGCTTTATGCCTAAGCACACCCTCTAGTCGTCAGAACGCGAAGAACATACTGCTTTGTTTTGGGGCTGCTAGCTGAGCAGCCGGGAAAGCAGGTGTGCTCCGTGCTTCCCTGGGAGCTGGGGGTTCTCTGGGCGGGGTCGTGAGTCCAGAGGGTGGAAGCCCACGAGGCTGACAGGGTCCAAGTGTTATCCAAGGCCTCTACGTGGCCCCGACATCCAAACAAAATCTGGGGGGCCCAGAACAGCAATCGATCGCTTCCAAAGATGCAAAACCCAAAAGGCTGTTTGGCTTAGAAGCTACCAGAACGCTATCTCCCACCCCCACCAAACTACAAAGGGAAATTTGGTTTAAAAGCCAATAATATAAAAAGGGATGTGCTCCTGGGCTCCCGAGTCACAGGAGTCCTGTTGACAGCCATCTCTGCACGTCCTCTCAGAGGTCATGTCGCGCACCCGGGGTCACACCTGCACCTGCTCCCTGCAGCTCCGCACAGCGGCCTTGCCCTCCCCTACAGCAGTCCTGAGCTCCTTGCGGGCCGCGGGTGACCCATCGGAACCTACAGGTCAGCACGGCCCCAGACCATACTCTGGGCATCGCAGGAAACAGTGCAGTTATGTCTGTTGCGGTCAGACCGAAACGGGAGTCCCTTTAGTCCTATAAAGCCGCTGAGCAGCGATGACAGGAGCCCGCCTAAAACCAAAACGGAGCCGACTGCAGTGCTGACGGCATGAGGACACTGCCAGGTAGACTCTGTTCACTATAATGAAGAGGCGGAAGGTGGCGGCCCTTCCCCAGCACGCCCCAGGGAGGGAGGGAACCGGCAAGCCTGTGACGAGGACAGCAGCACGTCCCCTGAAAAGGGACTCGAGGCGGCAAACGGGCGGGTGAGGGAGTGTGTGTCACTTTCCTCCAGACATTCACATTGCCCGGGTGCCATCAGGGCATTCCCAGGATGTCCCTTTAGTGTGTGGTGTATTTTAATACAACGGGATTCCATGGGGCCGAAGAGTGAAGCCGCCTTTCAAACGGCCTGATGTGTGCTCGCAAAATGGCTCCCACATGCACCAAGGAGGACTTGGTCCATTAAGAATCACCAAGAGTGAGATTCACTTAAAATGTGGTCATGTATCTGACCAAACAAATGCAAGAAGGAGTAAGACCCACCTTGCAGAGCCGTCTTGAGAAAGCAATGGAAAAGGAATACAAGATTTTTAGGAGAATGCCCGAAAAAAACAGGTGAGACAGCAGTTAAGCTTGGGATGGAGAGGCCCATTCACTCCTAGTTAGCGCCCTGGTTAGCTGGCAGAATGCCTGGGGTTAAAGCTAGCGCACTGCCAGGCCTTGGTTACCGGTCTGAAGGTAGGAACGAGGTCATCTCTAGGCG